TACTTTCTCTAGGCAGTAGAGGATATAGGGAGGAAAAGAAGAAAGATAAAGAATATGAAGGAATCCCTAGAACCTTCAGCTGTAACGACAAAAGTTTAATAGAGAACCTGGAAATAGTTATTGCATGTTTAGAGGAAACAAGATACCATAAATTTCTCCAGGAAACTGTGCATCTTGACTGCTTGCATGACAATAATAAAAGCTAAATCAACCAGAGGACCTAGATAAGTGAGCCATCAAATAAAGATATAAATCTTCTTTGTGATTTTATAGCAGCATATTAACACCAAGAAGAGTAAGGAGCAGTGCAATAGCTACTTGTAGATTACAATATTAAATTAGGGATTGATATTTAAAACACAGTATATGATGCATGTAATATTCCATACATTAAAGCCTAAAGTAATGCTAGACTTCTGGATAGAAATGCGTAAAGTAATCAATGTACTAGTTTACCCTATGCAGTGGATTGTATGCCATCAATTAAATGGCTTGACTTAGGCAAAGAGTGAATGAATGCTTGACTGCATGGTGATTGAAGCAAAAGTGAAATTAACAAAAGTTGTTGACAGTTTAGTGTTCTTCTAGAGTGTTTATTTAATGCTGTACTGTCTCTAGGGAACTCCCATTACCCAAATCTTCCAAAGCGTTTACTTCACTCATTTTTGTGGCAGCATCAACCACAAAGATGCTACGTGAGTCGCACCATCCACCCAATACATCCCTGCTGGAGCACTGCAGCAACATATAATGAAATACCACCTGTTAGATGACTTCAATTCTAGAGTTAAATATTGAGCATAAGGAACTTAATTCAGTTGAAACCAAGGAAAAAAAGGACCCAATAATTTATCATTTCTGAGCTTGCGTCAAGTTTTGCATCAAGTTTTGGCAAATTATATTTTCCAGCAATGTTCAGATATCTAGGCTGACCTGCTAAGGTTTAACTTGGAGAAGGTTACTATATAAGCACCTAAGATCAGATAGGGAGGAAAAAAGGCCTCATATCACTTCATTCTGTTTTAAGGAGACATAATAAGATAACAGCAGATGGATTACTGCCCTTTCATCTTAGCAAGTAAGACCTACTGCAGCAGGCTGATAACCAGTCAAAATCTAGCTACCAGGCATGGCCAATATCAAACTTTATATTGGCCTAGAAGAACCAGCTTGAGTTTGTAATTTTTGAACCAGTGTCAACATTTTTACCATCTCTATAGTAAGTAAGTACACATAATTGGAAATTTTAGAAAATAAAAGATCAATACCTTAGAAAACCCGAGCCAATTTGAATCCCCTCGAAATGAAAAGACCTTATCACTTTCTCTCCACTGTCCACAAAAGACCTGTAGAACATGCTTTGTTATGTTAAGGCAATGGAAACAGTTTCAGTAAACTACTCAAAAAGATAATTTGTGCTGTCTGCTTTAGCAGAGTATTACCCATCACTATCAGTCATAGAAACCTAACCAGCTATCTGCTGGAAGTTATTCTATAGTTGGAACTAAGTCCAATTCCAAAGAGGCATGCCCCATACCTCAAAAGCTAGCATCCTTAGGCAATTTCTATAAATTAAAGAGCAATCACCTCAAAGTCTACCCCTTGTACGTAGATGTAATTTGAGTCAATAGATGAGAAAGCAAGTCCAGTAATCTGCAGTAGCAATGAAAGAAAAGTTACTAATGCAAGCAGTTTGAAATCCTAAGAGACATGCCATCATGCAAAAGCATGAAACATTTCTAGTGAGAACCAAAAAAATAAAAATGAAAGAATTGCAAAAACTGAGCGGGCATTGGACCATGCTTTATGTTTTAATGATAAGTTGAGCAGACAGAGCATCTTGTCAAAATACTTTATCTCTTCAATCTGAAATTCCCATTGATTTTTATTTCAGAAACTAACCATCCCATTCCCATTCACATGAAAAACCAAAATCAATGACAGATAATGAGGCAGAAGAACATCGTAAAACAATTAACTAACCTCATATTTTGAACAATGCACCCATCTTGAGAGTGCTGCCCATCTACATTGAGGCATTAAACAAATTAGTACCATGTTGCCGAGGGTGACAAAATAAAGTGTTGCAATCCTTCGTTAATCTTACAACTAAGCAACAAGTTAACCAACCTGCGGGGATCATAAATGGTGACAGTACGATCGGTTCCACCCACTGCAATACTACCAGTTGAGGAACTACAGACAGCATATAAAATATCTCCAACAGAACCACAAATACGCTGCAGACAACCACCATTTTCTTTCATTCTCAAATCCCATATAGTAAGCTGTAATCATTTCCAAAGAAAGTTAACCAATCAGCTTTATTTAATACATCTTTCTGGGCCAAGTAATGGAAAGCTTTTATGTATCCATGAGGAATGAAAAATACAAAATTGAAATTCTGATACCTGGCAGCCTTCAGTCACAGCTAATATAGAACTCTCATTCCCATTTCCTAGAGTCTGTATGAAGTTCAATGAAGTTGGATACCAGAGTCTGAAAATCAACCAATGAATAACATAAGACTTTTAAAAATTTCAGCTAAAGGTAATAAGAAATAAGTCCTTTCTAGATCTGGAAGAAAACTCTAAACTGGACCTTTTTTTTGATGTTCAATGATAACTGGCATTTAATGATAGGTGCACAGCCACAGATGATGAGATGAAGAGATTAACAATTGAGAGTTAGTGATTAAAACTGAAAGGCTATCATTGAAGAAGAAACAGAGAGGTAGAACAAAGAAATCTACAATTTTATAATTTTCATCTTCTCATGCTATTTAGCCTCTTTTAGGCATTCTAAAGAACTCAAAATTTTATTGACATGAGGTTTAGTAAGAAAATTGTCCCCAAGCAGTCAGGCTGAAAGGCCATTCTTTGTTTGTGTGCATGTGTGTCTGTCAAAGTGCCCAAAAGGATGGGCTGCTTAGCCCCCTCCATTTGTCTCTCATTCACCTGTGCTTCAATATGTATTTTGGTTCCCCTGGATTGTTCAGCTGTCCCAGGCTGGACCTCCCTGAATTGTGGCTGTGTATGTTTATCTTTGCTTGTATTTTTACTACTTAATGAATGAAAATGAAAAATCTGAATGAATTTGGCCAAGAGTAATTTAGAGACTTCAGATTTCCTGAACTCAGATGCAAGACACCAGATATAGCTATTTACTTCATAATAAGAAAAAAAGAAACTGCCAAGCGGCCCTGCTCCTGTAAGTGATAAATCACAGACAGAAGAATGGATGATCTCAACAGCAGCTTAGGCCATGTTGGAAAAATAATACCAAAAAGGCACAATTAAGAACACTTTACAAGATAAAAATATTCATCAAAACTAATAATAAAGAAAAAATTGCATAACAGAAACACATTCCAGAGCTCTGATTATTCAAGAAAGCTCATATGTTCAAATACTTCCATAATGTTATGAGAAATGCACAATTAACATAAGCAGTGAAAACTCCATTGCATTAAACCTAGAGGTGTGGCTTGGATAATAATATAATATAGAGATCAAAAGATGTAATACTTTCATATGCAAAATCCAATATAGAAATAGAAGGATTTAATACTTACGTACGTAAAGTTCGAAGATGGATATCCTGATCATAAACATCAACAGTTTTGCAGAAGCTATGTGCAACAGCTGCCTGAAGTACAGTGTAAAGTTCACTGATTAAAGGTAGAGTGTGATCCATATATAGACCAAAAATACATTTTCAAGTACAACAGGAACAAAAAATTCAATTACAGATAACAAAAAGGCTGTGTCTTCAAGCACTGATCATCAAATGCAACTTAATGAGCTTTATAAGTCCTATACATGAGAAAATTTCATAGATATACGAAAAAACTGCATTAGAGCCACCATTATAAGATACAATCAATCTCATATGGATAAGATTATTATATATGAATTGATTGTGGAGATTCCTAACATTAACGTTTCCTATGGATGAGAAAAACAATAAAATATCTTCCTTCCATCTGTATCACAGGGTTTGCAAGTAGAATGCCGGAACTGAAAAGTTCAAAAGACTAATTGATTTAACAAATTTAGACAAAGAGGCTAAAATCATAAGTTCCTTTCAGATACCATACAATCAAAAAATTTCAATGTAATAGATAAATCAACAATATTGGAGGTGAAAATTTTTGATAGTTATAGTATTAGCTTAATCTTAGTTTTCTGATAACTAACTTGAGTACCATGGACCATTGACTGGGACTGAAGCAAAGCCCAGCCCAGCTGCCTTCTCCAATATCAATATCTTGAGGCAACACTGAGTAGGTAATCCTGTCAACATCTGTAAAATTCAGCAGTAGACATTATTAAGGCTCAGATCATTTAAAACAAGAACTAAGCAACACAATCACCTTGATGGTGTTTGCAGGTTTGCGAGACTTTTGTTAAATGGCTCTCACCTTTTATTCTAACAAATCAGTTGCTATAAACCATATTGATTGCAAAATTCCAAAAGGAAAGGTAGCAAATCATCATCACAAATTGTGCCTGCATGTAAATGTAAATGAGAGGAATGTACCTTTACCAGCAGCATCCAGTTTAGAAACAATAAGGTGGCCGTATGAATCCACACTTCCTAACACTGAGTAACTAGTGTCTGCAAATGTACAATCACAGAGGTAAAAAAGTATAAGACATATATCATTGCATTGCACATTAGGACTCAGGATTCGTAAAATAGAAGAAAGAACCCATACAGCATCATCAGAAAATGATAATCAGCTCCTACAAAATAACACCGTACATCCTAGAAAAGATAACTGGTTCTAATATCATTTTGGCAACAAAAACATTTGTGATTAGTAACAAACTAATGAATGTTACAATGTTAATTGAGATGCAGCCGCAAATAAGAAGACACAAGGATGAACATACAGAAAAGGAGAGAATTCAAGCAATATCAGAAGCAAAAGCTACTTTACTTTTCAAGATCAGGATTATGCACAGGATATCATCAACAAACTAGAACCATTGTATTACTGTATCCATGAACAGCAAGGTAGACAAGAGATTGCCAGTGGCAGTGCTAAACATAATGAGAATCATACTACCATTGGCCAAGCTAAAACTGCTTTGTAAAGTCATTTTATAACATTTCAAAAGAAGTTGCATTTGCATACGCCATAAAGCAAAAAATTTGAGCTTTATGAAGAGCTCGTATTAATCAATAAGGAAAAAGAAACATAGATTAAACAAGTCACTTACTTTCAGTTTCGGCAAGAACAATACTCTGAATTTCTGAACGATGAGGACAGCGGTTAACCAAGAAAGAGTCTAGAACCTTCAAAAACCAAAGATTACAACAAGATGACCTCAAACTCCTCACAGACATATTTACAAATTCAATGTTTGCAATGTCCATAGCATTAGTACCTCAATTTGCTCAGGTATAAGCAGGCCTTCTTTCCCCTTGCTAAGCAAAGAAACTTCCAGCGGAATCTGTGATAAAAGAAGCGACTTTTATCCATGAAAAGCACAACTGTGTTCATATACGTAGAAATATGAATGAATTAATTAACCCATATACCTGGAGTTTATAGATGTTGCAGCCGGAGGCTATGTAGACCCAGCAAGAAGAACCATCCTGATTGACCTGAAGAAGAAATGGAAAGAAAACAGAATTAAAAGGGTTCAACATTAGAGGTGTCGATGTGTTTGGGAAGAGAGTTACATGAAGAGCCAGACGAGTGGACTGGATGTTTCCTGGAGATGGGTTCTCTATGAGAGTGGATGGAACCACCGCCTTCCTCAAGCTCTTTGCCTCTAGTTCCACCATCTCTCTTGGGTGTGGCGGGAACGGTTCGTCTGGGGAAAAGCAGCAGAGGCTGGAAGGCAATGGTTTTAGTTTTACGGTGGGTTTAAGACTTCCCTTCGGTTCTGGGTCCTGTACCAGTGTAGGGTTTATCTTAATTTTATATTAGATTTTTTTAACCTTTGCCTGCAAATTAAAAATAGGTTTAATACCCAATTTGGTCCCTAAACTTTCTTTTTGAAACTTAGTTCGTCCTTTAACTACAGAAAGCACCCAAATCGTCCTTAAACTTTATTTTTTCATAACCCAAATGGTCCTTCCGTCAAGAAACTGCACACATGGCACGTTAAGTCTCACCCAATAACCTTTTTTTAATTTTAACAAGCTTATGTGGATAATACACCTCACCTAATTGATGACATGTCAATCTCTAGCTTTCTAAATAAAATAAAACAATAAAACAGTGGGATGTTTCTTCCAGCCTACAAAAACCAAAGAACTCTATTCCTTTTTCCACTTCTCTCTCAATTGATTTC